AGAGAGAGAGAGAGAGAGAGAGAGAGAGAGAGAGAGAGAGAGAGAGAGAAAGAGGGGCAAGAAAAGCGAGTTGAGAGTGAACATATAAAATAGTTATCATTCTAAAAAGGGAGATTACAATAATCCTCCATGGTAATATCGCAGCATCGCAAATAGAAAACGCAATCGCGAGAAGATAGGGGTGAGAAGCTCGGCTCTCTCTCTCTCTCTCTCTCTCTCTCCCCCTTCTATCTCTCTGTCTCGCTGTGTCTCTCTCTCCCACCCTCTCGCTTCGCTCTCTCTCTCTCTCTCTCTTTCTTTCGTTCCATCGCCAGTTTCACCGCTGATCTATTTATTTCTCCATGATCACCAGGAGCCATTAAACTATTTTTATAATTTAGGTTATACACCGCGAGTTACAATGTTTCCCACCTACAAACTACGTCATTGTGTTAGATGTAGCTATCGGTGTCGGCATTCATTTTAAATGTCAGAATAGATACTCTGCAGGCGTGATAATACACAGTAGTACCCTAAATACATCCTTTGTTCCACACTTATTAATCAACACATCTAACTACAGTTTCTATCAGTTTCCAAGAGTATTTTATGAGATTACTTAAAATCGTAGTCGTTGTACGAAGAACTAGTACTCTAGCGCCGTTAACCATCAGCAGTTGCACCTAGGCAAACGAGCTGTTGTTGGTTCGAAAATGCACGACGGAATTTTCAAACGAAAGAGACACGCCAATAAATCAGTATTCTTTCATTTCATTTTCGTTTTTACCGTACTCCCACAGTACTACTCGAACAGAACGAGCCTCCACGTATCTACTGTCGTACCATCGTACGATCGAACCATCGTATCGAACTATCGTACCATCGTACTATATCGTACTATCGTACCATCGTAGTCCTACGTACTCGAACAGAACGAGCCTCCACGCTCTCCATTTGTTCAAGCCCTCCCATTTGTAAATGGGAAACCCGGCCACAACGCAAACGCTACGTGTACACGAACGCTATGTATATATATACTAACGTGAAACAGTCTACGTACACTGGTTCTTTTTGGTAACATAAACATGTGCTCGTTTTCGCATTATTCCCGCATCTACAATTCTCAATTCGAATTGAATATAACTTTCATGCGTTGCCATCATCTATCGTCTGATTTGTTGTAATATCCCCTGCATGATTTTGGCAGTTTCAACCAATACTCCTTCCCTATGGTAATTTTCTTGCAAAATCAGTCACTAAGCATGCAGCGGGGATACATATAAAATGCGTAAATGGATTAAGGGGTATCATTTCTGCACGAGTATCGCAAATCGACTAAAAAGGAAGCCGCGCGCATGAATCTGGTATAAAAACACGCACGAGAAATATCAGATTGGCTTCAAAAAATCCACTGAGGACAAATCGCATTCTTTAGAATTGACGACGGTCGCTGAGCATGCAACGCGGCTGTAACAGGCTTGCAATCCGACATGAAAGGGACGTAGAGAGATGCGTAAAAACATGAGCGCGATAAGCGTAGCTTACTGCCATACCACGTACAGACGTATTTTGACACGCAAATTTGATACCACATCAAACTAGTCCGGGCCTAACTCGCGCAAAATTTTTACAGTGTGTACGCGCTATCCCACTGCAAATACGCCCTGGTCCGCTCCAATTTGGCTCCGCAAATGAAGGCGGGTCAAGCCCGCTTCGAAGCGAGATAAGTTGGAGCGTACCAAGTTATCCCGATCTAAACTGTGTGTACGCAATCCGGTGCCAGACGCGCGCTAAATTTCGCAATGCGCATGCGCATAGCCTTATTTTGGTCACATAAAAGTACAGTAGCTGTCTCCTGGATGACCTAACGAGCTAAACTGAGCATGCACAGTCAACCCGTGCTAGTTTGATGTGAGATCAAATTTTGTGTCTGTACGCTACGATTTGACGCGCGCCAAGCGGGGTCTTGTACGGGGTATCAGCTGCCCACTGTCACGTGGGCAGACAAAATAATAAAATGATGGCAATTATGTTTACTAGCAAAGTCCAAATGTTTATGTGTTCTATATTGTCTAATAATTACACGTAGATATGCCGTTCAAATACTCTTCCACAGCACGCAATTTTACCGCACGCACACCACTGAGAACAAAATTCCAAAAGAGATTACTTTTTTGTTAGTTCATATTTTTAGTTTATTCACTCATATTATATTATCTTTTTGTTGGTTTGTGCACAGTGAGTGGCGTGCATGCGATAGTAGGATTGTGTATTGGCGCCGTTCATCGGTGTTGGCCTACTCCCATTTCGCCTACTTCCCATTACGCCTACTCTCAGAATGGGTAATATTCCCATTTCGCCTACTCTCATATTTCGTCTACTCTTAGAATGGGCAATAGTGCCATTTCGTCGTAGTATTGATATTACAACAAATACTAGGAGTAATTAGTGTGGATGCCACTCCGTCCAGTCTATGTATGCTAATCAAAACCATATATTACATTTTTAAATAATTATTTAGTGGACAAACTGATGGTAGACAAAATGGGAATGGGTGGATTTTTAGTGTAGACGAATTGGGAGTAGGCGAAATGGGTGTAGACCAACTGGGAGTTTTGCTATATATACGAAATGGGAGTAGGCCAACCGGGCATAAACCGTTTTTACTGCCCACCGTCGTCGCCCGACAAGGCGATGCGAGTGGGTGAAGCTTGATCACACCTTCCCTCAGCCCCCTCTCCGCCTAGCAAACCGACCCTTCCCCACTTGAATCGAGCGCTACCGAATCCATGTTCAATGAGGCAAGCATAGCGAAATTATGAGTAGCTCCGCCAGCTCGGTTAAGTACACTGCGCTATCACACAGCGAATTGAGCCCAATAATTGCGGTATCTGTAAGTGTTCGAATCGAGTGCTATTCCGTGTAATGAGAGCGATTGCCAAGTTGGCACTGAGGCCGTGTTCGCCACGTGATCCTCATACGAAACTACGACTCTGTGGAAACGCGAGTCTGGACACTTGGCCGAGTATTTTTTCCTTCTCCGGTAGGCCGTGCGAGTTAATGAGGAGCGGGGTGTAAAAGTGGTGGCGGAAGATTTAACTAATTATATCAGGAGTAAGATAATATAGGATCTTACTACTGATTATATGGTGCACTGCTGTTGTTGTTGTTGCTGATGCATGTTGTTTTTGTTGCTGCTGTTGTTGTTGTTGCTGATGCATGTTGTTTTTGTTGCTGCTGTTGTTGTTGTTGACTGTTGTTGTTGTTGCTGATGCATGTTGTTTTTGTTGCTGCTGTTGTTGTTGTTGCTGATGCATGTTGTTTTTGTTGCTGCTGTTGTTGTTGTTGTTGCTGCTGCTGCTGTTGTTGTTACTGTTGCTGCCCATGCTACGGCTGCTGCTGTTGCTGCTATAGGTCTACCGGTGTAGCCCCTTCGCTTCCGCTACAGGAGAATCCTACAGGAAAACCCCTTCGCTCCCGCGACACCAGTAGAGCTACTGCTGCTGCTGCTGCTACTGTTGCTACTGCTACTGCTTCTGCTGCTGCTGCTGCTGTTACTGTTACTGCTGCTGCTGCTGCTGTTACTATTGCTGCTGCTGCTGCTGCTGCTGCTGCTGCTGCTGCTGCTGGTGGTGGTGGTGGTACTGACACACTGAGGGCTTTTGCAAACAGGCGGCACGCGCGACGGCCATGCCACATTTTATCTTCGCAGCTTACTGCATGTGTCAACAAACGCACATCACCAGTTCAAGATAGGTTTACACTGCCCCGCAATCTCCACCACGCAAGCCAAATATCCGTACAGGCAGTTGTACAGCCATCATAAAACTGTAGCTTTATCGCAGCATGGAGGCCAGCGCGATCACGGACACTGTTTCCGTAAGGTTAGACCGCATACACAGACATATATGCAGGCGTGCAACAAACCTCCATTGTACCACTTCTTGTTAACGTCACACAACCGGGATCTATCAAAGATGGCTCATTGATAACATGCGAGGTTTACTATATGTTATACGAGAATAAGAGCTAAAACATGACCTGCATTTAGATCCCGACAGAAGATGCCGATTGAGCAGTCGAATTAAAAGAAGAACGGGGGTAGGCGGAAGAAGAGAAAGACGAAAAGAAGCAGAAGAAGATCTAGAAGAACAAGAAGAAGACGAAGGAGAAGAAGAAGAAGAAGAAGAAGAAGAAGAAGAAGAAGAAGAAGAAGAAGAAGAAGAAGAAGAAGAAAAAGAAGAAGAAGGAAACAATGAAAACAGAGGTACGAGACCTGAAGATACGAACAAGAACGAAAGGTGAGCAGCAAGAGTAGAAAAATATAACAAGTGTGACGTGTAGAAGAGGTGGTTGCAAAGGAGGTGAAAGGAACAGAAGCTCAACTCAGATCAGAGAGAGAGAGAGAGAGAGAGAGAGGAGTTAGTAGGGTCAGATGGTTGCAGAGGAGCAGAGGGGGGAATCTGTTTTGCACGACATGAATAACATCTGTGCTAATATCCTGTTGAATTCTAATAATTTTGGGTTGGTTAACCGTGTTTCCCAAGCTCATCTATTATGTACCATAGTAGTTCATAAAGCAGTTCGCAAGCTACAAATCCACAAGACCCCTTATGACACCGATGCTATGAAAATCAGCCTGCAAAAAAGCAGGGTGAATATATAGAGTCATTATCTATCACATGCCGATTAAAAAACTAAGATAAATCTTTGTCAGACACTTCAACGACCTATAAGTAGATACACACGTACCTTGGCACTGGAATCCTTGTTTGCCAAAACCCCTGCAACAGAAACACAAATACATAATGAAAGGTAAGAAGCAACAGTAGAAAGAAAGGTGACGAGTATGATGTGTATTATGCAGGCGATGTCGTTGCAGGGGTAGTCAGAGGAATGGAAGCTGGATCTATCTATCTATCCGTCCGTCCGTCCATTCATCCATCCTTCCATCCATCCATCCATCCATCCATCCATCTAGCTATCCATCTAGCTATCTATCTAGCTATCTATCTAGCTGTTTATCTATCTAGCTATCTATCTTTCTACCAACCAATATATCTATCGATCGATCGATCGACCGACCGACCGACCGACCGACCGACCGACCGACCGACCGACCGACCGACCGACCGACCGACCGACCGACCGACCGACCGACCGTACGACGTACGACCGACGACGACCGACGACGACCGACGACGACCGACGACCGACGACCGACCGACCGACCGACGGCACTATCTATCGATCGATCGATCGACCGACGACCGACCGACGACCCGACCGACCGACCGACCGACCGACGCGGACAACCGACCGCCGACCGACGACGACGACGACCGACGACCCGACCGACCGAACCGACCGACGATGCGACGACCGACCGACCGACCGACCGACGCGAACCGACCGACCGACGACGACGCGACGACCGACACGACGACGACACGACGAACACGACCGACACCCGACCGACCGACCGACCGACGACCGACGACCGACGACCGACGACCGACCGACGACCGACGACGACCGACCGGCATTTGAGGCACTTTTGAGTACATGTACAGTCTTCATTCTGACTATGACAATTCTCATTTTAGTAGAACAATTCTTTTTTTTTCTTTTTTTACTTTCGGATCAACAGGGGGGGGGCATGGCCCCGTTTGCCCCCCCCTAACTACGCCACTGCTACTCAGAATACACTCACATTTACCTCTGCCGGCAGAACACCACAGACCGCACCCACCCTTACCACTACACCGATCACAGCATATCTACAGCTGCCACTCCACAAATTTATTGAGCGTCAAACAAATACATGGGTTCTATTCGTCGAACTCTTCGATTTGGGTCTTGGGAACATACATGCAACCATGCAACATAGACGGAAATGGAAAACTTTACTCCTGCATCATCCTTTTATATATTTCTCCAGTCGTCGTGATATTATTGGTTTGTATAGTACGGTGTGTTTACGTTATGAAGCGTGTTTACACGTGTACCGGACATACGCTTCGAGTAAACACTAGCTGGACTACTGTATAACCGCGCATAAGATTACACGGAAGATGACGCACAGTTAACGTCGATATATGTCGATATATTTTTTCGTTCGTTTCACCTCCCTCAACCCCGCCCTCTCTCCCTCTCTCTCTATATCTCCCTCCCTCCCTCCCTCCCTCCCCCCTCTCCTCTCTCTTTCTCGCTCTCGCTCCTCGCTCTAGCTCTCTCCATTTCTCCACCATTTCCTCTTCCCCTCCTGCCCCCTCGTTCTCCATCCTCCCTCCGTCTACTACTCTCTCTACCCGACCTCCTTACTTCATCTTTCCCACTCGTTTTCGTTCTCGCGTCTTTGGTTTATTGACATTTGGTAGTGCTGCAAACAACCCCTCGCAAACCACTCACTATAGCGCCTCGGAGCGTCTCGTCACGCACGAGGACAGGTGTAGCGCGAAATTTCTGACTTGCGAAATATCTGAGAGAGAATGCCTATGCGCATGCGCACTTCGCATGCGTCCCGACCCGACTAATCACAGCCTCGCTTTGTGTGCGAAATTTCTGACCTGCGAAATATATGATATAGGATGCGTATGCGCATGCGCACTTCGCATATATGCTCAAATATGGCGATTTCCACTTCAGCTAAGACACCAGCTGGTGCAGAAAGGAGGAGGGGAGAAGCTGATGGAGAAGGAGGGAAGGAAGAAGGAGGAGGGGGAGAAGCTGGTGGAGAATGAAGAAGGGAGAAGGAGAAGCTGTGGAGAAGGAGGAAGGGGAGAAGGGAGAGGTAGTGGAGGAGGAGAAGGGGAGAAGCTGGTGGAGAAGGAGAAGTGGAGAAGGAGGGGAGAAGAGGAAGGATGAGAAGGGCAGAACTGTGGAGAAGGAAGGGGAGAAGGAAGAATTGCCAACCCAGCCCCCTTGTACATCAATGAATGCCGCGCCGCAGCACGCTTCTCCTTTTTCCCCTTCCTCCTTCTCCTCCATGCAGCTTCTCCGTTCTCCCCTTCCTCCTTCTCCACCAGCTTCTCCCCTCCTCATTCTCCACCACCTTCTCCCCTCCTCCTTCTCACCAGCTTCTCCCTTCTCCCTCCTCCTCCACCAGCTCCCTTCTCCCCCTCCTTCTCCCCTCCTCCTTCTCCACCAGCCTCTCCCCCTCCTCTTTCTCCACCAGCTTCTCCATTCTCCCCCTCCTCTTTCTCCACCAGCTTCTCTCCCTCCTCCTTCTTCACCAGCTTCTCCCTTCTCCCCTTCCTTCTTCTCCACCAGCTTCTCCCCCTCCTCCTTCGACACCAGCTTCTCCCTTCTCCCCCTCCTTCTTCTTCACCACCTTCTACCTTCTCCACCAGCTTCTCCCCCTCCTCCTCCACCAGCTTCTCCCTTCTTCCCTTCCTCCTTATCCACCAGCTTCTCCCCCTCCTCCATCTCCACCAGCTTCTCCTTTCTCCCCTTCTTCCTTCTCCACCAGCTTCTCCCCTTCCTCCTTCTCCACCACCTTCTCCCTTCTCCCCTTCCTCCTCCCACCAGCTTCTCCTTCTCCCCTTCCTCCTTCTCCACCAGCTTCTCCCCTCTACCTTCTCACAGCTTCTCCCTCCTCTCTCCACCACCTTCTCCCTTCTCCCCTTCCTCCTCCACCAGCTTCTCCCTTCTCCTCCTCCTCCTTCTCCACCAGCTTCTCCTTTCTCCCCCTCCTCCTTCTCCACCAGCCTTCTCCCCCTCCTCTTCTCCACGCCAGCTTCTCTCCCTCCTCTCCTTCTCACCAGCTTCTCCCTTCTCCCCCTCCTCTTCACCAGCTCTTCTCCCTCCTCCTTTCTCCACCAGCTTTCCTCCTCCTCTTTCTCCACAGCTTCTCCCCCTCCTCCTTCTCCACCAGCTTCTCCATTCTCCCCCTCCTCCTTGTCCACCAGCTTCTCCCCCTCCTTCTCCATCAGCTTCTCCCCTCCTCCTTCTCCACCACCTTCTCTCTTCTCCCCTTCCTCCTTCTCCACCAGCTTCTTCCTTCTCCCCTTCCTCATTCTGCACAGCTTCTCGCGCCTCCTCCTTCTCACCAGCTTCTCCCTCCTCCTTCTCCACCAGCTTCTCCCCTCCTCCTTCTCCATCAGCTTCTCCCCTTCCTCATTCTTCACTAGCTTCTCCCTACTCCACCTACTAGTACTACTCTAAACTTCATCCTCCCTCCCCTGCCCCCCTCCCTACACTGCTCCTTCGCTACCCTGCTACCAGAACTTGGTATTTTACACAAAACCTTCAAGTGTACACAACCTATCGTTAACACAAAGACGAGCTTGTCATTGGTCGGGTCGGGCGGGGCGTGGCCTATCTCAGATATTTCGCACTCGTCAGATATTCGCGGAGCAGGTCAACCGCGGATGACAGTTAACACAACTCAATCCCCCCACGATGTCGAGAAGCGGAAGAGGAAACGGAAAAGGAAAATATGTTTGATACAGCCATACTTAGTTCTATGACGTATGCTAACGATGCATGCTTACACTACTAAGATAGTAAACACCTACACATCTGTTCCAGCATCGGAGAACACGTTGCACTCTTATGGAATAGGTTTAGATTAGGAACCCACTACATACAACGCAGCACGCGTGCATACCCACATCATCGTCATCATCATTACCAGGACAAGCACTTCGAACATTTCAATAATTAAATAATAGTAAGTAAACACAAAATGTATTTACTACCAAAGTCTCGATATTTATGTATTCGATCTCTATCGAGTATTAATGCCACGTAATTGCTGTTCAAATGCTCTTTTGCAACACGCAATCTCACCGCACGTGCACCAGCGGGCTGTGCACAAACAACAGCAATCTGAAACTCTGTTGCGTGTGTTTGTGGTAAAACTGTGTTGCAAAGGAGCATTGGAATAGGCTCAATAGCGTTTACAGGAAATTATCACTAATAATACCCGAAACAGAGCATAGAAACATGAATTAAGACTTTGGTAGAAAATACATTTCGTGGTCATTTACCATCATTTTATTATTGAAATGCTCCAAGTGCCTGTAATCACCACATAGCCAGCAATAACATAACTAAGTTCGACCACCCCACCACGCTCACGCTACAGCGCACGCATATAATAACACACACGCCGCACGTACGCACAAACGCACGCGCGCACGCACAAACCACAACGCATATATATATATATA